ATTGGAGATTAGTTGGTGTTTATAAATATGTTATCATTTACTTTATATTTAATGAGTGAAAATATATTCGGTTGTCCAGTTTAGGTTAACTATAAAACTATACTACTAATAAAACTTTGATTCATTCATATTATTTATTATTTTTTTACTTTAAAAAATATTACATTTCAAGTACTAAGTTTAAAAATGTTTTCGGCTGATCTTTTTTCATTTTTAAATTATTCATTGAAGTTGGGGTCATTGTATGTGGCGATCTATTTTTTACAGTCTATGCTCGCTATCCCAAGGTTCATTGCGATCCCAAGGTTCACTGCGGTTTTCCACAAGGTAAGTAAAAAGTAAACAAATAAAGACGATTTGTTGATAAAGCATGTACTGTAAACTAGCGACGTTATCTAATTACATCAAGTTCATTTATTAAAAACATATTTTTCTCACATATAACGTTGGTCATGCATTAGAACAATATATACATTTTAAGATGAGGAACAGTGCTAACACATTGTTGTTTTCCACAATAGAATTCGTGCAAAATCTATATATAATATGCAATATGCAACTCTAATAATACAAATGTATTCGTAATTGTTTCAATATTAAAGAACATCAAATGTTTCCAAAGGTTTAAAGGCTACATTGTAAAAACAATTATTTTCTTAAAACACACACACACACACACACACACACACACACACACACACACATATATATATATATATATATATATATATATATATATATATATATATATATATATATATATATATATATATTTATATGTATATATATATATATATATATATATATATATATATATATATATATATATATATATATATATATATATATATATATATATATATATATATATATATATATATATATATATATATATATATATATATATATATATATATATATATATATATATATATATATATATATATATATATATATATATATATATATATATATATATATATATATATATATATATATATATATATATATATATATATATATATATATATATATATATATATATATATATATATATATATATATATATATATATATATATATATATATATATATATATATATATATATATATATATATATATATATATATATATATATATATATATATATATATATATATATATATATATATATATATATATATATATATATATATACAGGTGTAAATTATAAGGTGTTCACTGTTCAGATATGAATATTTTTTCTTTGCTCTTTTCAGGTTCTTTAGATTTCTTTAAAAATCCAATTTTGTTTTCTAATAAGCAAAAAGTAAAGCCACTTTACCCATGTCTAAATGTTAAATTGAACTTGTCTTTCTCTCTATCTCTGTTAACACATTTGTATTTGTTTGATTAATTCTTGTGTCTTTCAGCCTGTTTCTGCATATCACCATGAGTGATTCCTTGATACTCAGATTTATCATCAAGATCTCAATTATAAGCTCAAGTCTTGATGACAACTTGATGATCTGCAGGAAGCACCACCATGTATAGAAGGCCAAGAGCACTCTGGAATCAGTCAAGGGTTAGTGAAGTTTTTCATTCCATGTATATGAAATGTCTATATTGTTAGGCATATATGATTGTATGAGATAAAATGCAATTATTCTTTCACTTCTATTGTAATAACAGAAAGAAACGCATTAGTTTTACTATTACTATTGTTTATGAAAAACATTATAAACTACAGTATAAGCTCACAAAATATTGTGGCCTAACTGTTTAAAACTATTTGTTCTGGGTGTTGATAGTGGCCAACCATTTTTTTCTTTTTCAGAAAGTATTTTGTTTTGTCTGATTTTATGACACCTTATAGGCCATCAACTGTCCACATTGGGGTTTAGGAAATTAAACTACTAATGCTGCTTGTCTACTAGTCTTAGGATAAGTTAGAATTGTTATAAATGTTAATTTCTTAGTTGTTTTTTTTCTGGTACAGCTCATAGGAACTCCAATCTTCCCAACTGTGAGAGGGCCTTGCTCCGGTGACTGTTGGTGTGTACTTTAATGTTTCCATTAGTCCCTGTATCTGTAGATCTAGGTGACAGTGGGCTAGAGTAAAAATTTGTTTTTATTTAAACTAAGGCATACTGATGGCCTTTTTTATCTCAGATTTGGTCATGCAAGTATAAATATATCCTAAAATATTTTTATATTCTTTCCATTGGTGGAAAAGAGTTTGGTATAATTATTTTTAATAGACTTCCAAGTTCTCAGCAGACATTTTTCTGAGATATTCTTGAGTGGGAGTCTGTGCAATACAAGGTGGATAGTATTTGCAAGGAAGAGTCCTTCATCTGTCCTGCTTCCACATTAGATAAACTGCCAATTTAAGTAGATGTGAACCATAAGCATAACCATTTCATGAATGCACAAGGTACTTTAAACTGTATGTGTTGAAACTAAATTAACAAGAAAACAGCTCTTTGATGTTCACCTAGTAAAATTAGATTAGAAGATAATATTTTGAAGGTTTGTTTACAGCTAAGGATTAAGGATTGACAGGAAGATTTGTGGACTACATCAACTAATGACACTACCTCCAAAGAGTTGCAAAAAGCTGTCCAAAGTTTCAGCACCATCTTTAAGCCCATGATTTTAGTGTGTTTCATGCCTAATCACATTAGTTTAAATCTGAGATAGATGAACTATATGATTATCTTAAACTGATCTACAGGTAAATGCCAAAACTTATTGGTTTACTTGTTTGTTTGTTTGTTTTTTTGTATATGTTAACCAGGTAAAATGGAGTGAGGCATACCAGGATATGCCTGGTTTTACTCTTGGGAAGGAGGTTGAACAGTGCAATATTTCTTCTATAGGATTGCAGTGACCAGACATGCTACTGTAACTCTCATGGTCATGTGCTGGAATTAGCAGATATTCAACAATTTGGTCATCTTGCTGACCTATTGATATTAGAAGGTAACGATATCCAGTAGAATTTGTTTTAGATGTTCAGTAACCTATTTGAATAGTATTGTGATTTTTTGATTGCTTATCACTGTAGACCGCAACAGCTCTGCAAAGCAAGTTGGAAAACAGAATCCATGAATCTGGCAGTGACCGGAAACCAGTTGGAAGACTTTGGTCTGTGACGTAGAGGAGTGGGCAGAGGGTGAGGAAATTCTTATTAATATTACATGTAGTCATGAAAAATTGTAAGTGTTACTATTATTGTCATTTTTTTTTCAGTAGCAGAAGCAAAGACAACAAAAAACAGAAGTGATATGGATGTCTTCGTCATATGGCATGGTATGTACACTAGACTTCTGTCAGTGTTGATTCTTTAAAAGTTGACGTGTAATCCTTGTTATACAACTTTCCTTTTATAAATATATTTCAGACTCTGCTGACCCAGCAACAAAGAGGAGGGTGTTCAACATTATCCTGCTAGTCAGGATTCTTCAGGAGAAGCAGAGGATTCTTGTGGCAGAGATGGCCAACCACTATAAATACCTTTCAACTCATCCTGGTTCCTTCAAAGAACTTTCCTGCTTGTTTGCTACTGAAAAGTATGTATTTGTATTATTTGGCACAGACATAAGCATTAAGGTTACCCAGTCCAAAGGATATTAATATATTTTTATGTTGTTGTGTTCTTTTAAGATTCGACATGTGGCCTAAACGAAGAGGGGTTAAAAGGTCTATGGATCACCATTCTCAGAAAGCAACAAAATAACTGAGAAATAAACAACAATACGATGGTGCAATCTAGAGACCTGCAAGGTACCTGCAAGTTTTGGCTGGAGCAGAGAACATGCATTTTTTAAATAAAGCTCCAGCTGATGAGTTTGACATTGACTGTGGATTTTCTTTTACTGTAATCCAGAAGAGGATGACCTTAACCCTGAATCTAAAGCATGTAATAAAATCTGTAAAAAAAAATAAAATAAAATTTTCATCATCTATAACCAAATTGTTGTCTCTTTTTTTTTTTAAATACATAGATATGTACAGTATGTAAGCATTCCTCTAAAATCAATCAGTGTTGTAAATTAAGAGCATTATTGTATGCCTAACTGCTTACAACATATAACGATTTAAGGAACTCTATATTAAAATAAAATTATTACATTAAATGACATTAAGAGCTTTTAAAATATTAATTTTATGATACATTTTTATGATAAATTTAATTTTTGCATATACTTGGCCAAAAAATTTACATTATTATGGTCAACTGCTCAGATACCTCCAGTCAATATGTGGCTGAGTCAGGCAACCAGACTTCTACCTCTGAACAAATTAACCTATGATTTACATCAAAGATCTGATGGATCTATTTGGTCCTCATGGATTTTTCTAAAAAAAAAAAAAAATTAATTTCCTTTTATTTTTGTCTTTACTTTGAAACATTTGTATTCATTTGTTAGAATGTCTAACAAAAAAAAACTACTGTACTTGTGAGATAACAGTGCCACTGTTGTTATGCTGAAAATAAAAAATAACTTTGTATAATGTTTTATTGAATGCCAGATAAAAAATAAAAAAATAAAATATTTTCCAAGAGATGGATTGCGGCTGGAAGAGCATCTGCTGCATAAAAACATGCTGGAAAAGTTGGCGGTTCATAGAGCTGTGGCGACCCCTGGTTAATAAAGGGACTAAGCCAAAAAGTAAAATAAAATATGTATTTTTGTAGACATAGAACTTCACAGTAACTTATAAGTACAGCACAGAACTTTTTTACTTCTAGTTTAGATAATTTAAAGGTTTGCAAATTTATTTTGTTGGTTAATGGCTATGTATTTTTAATCATTTGGAGGTTTGAACTATTCACAGCATTTAAAAGGATATCTTATCGTCATTGTTACCTAATTTCTCACTATTTTCATGATTCTTACAATGCAGCAAATCTTAAAATCATTTGATCATAAAGAAAATAATTAACAAATTAACCCACATGCAGGACAAAGACATTATGTGGAATCATTATTTAACACAAAGTTCATCCATTGTCATCAAAACATACTGTTACACAAACAGTTGAAGATTTAGAAAGTAAAAATAATCAGATAAAGAGTGGTTTTCAAACAAATACATGTCTTTAAAAAAGTTATATTTATAAACATTTACATATTTTAAGAGCTTTTATCCATATTTCAAATAAAGTGAAAACAATTAAACCACATGATGACCATTAATGAAACACACTTACAGAATTACATCCACACATATTATTCTGAACTCATAATATTTGTGATGAACATAGATCACTATTGCTAATAACTTGTGATTAAAGAGGATACTAATGTTTAGCTTATTTTTACAGCTTTTTTTTTTTACCACAACTGTTCATGTGACATTACAATTTCTTGTCCATGTTGAAGATAATACATCTACATATGTTAACTGCCCTTTTACTCAAAGGGGATGAGTAGAGCCCCGTAGAAAAGGAAAAAGTATTCACATTTCAAACGAGAAATGAGTGAGAGAATATCAGCAAGACTATTATCTATGCTATGTTCAATAAATAATGTTGGATATAATAGTCTGATATATACTGATCAAGTCAATAAAAGCTGTTTTAAAAAAATACTCATTGTAAAATAACAAATTTATGTCTGGCATTCATATATGTCATAAATATATGCACAATGACCTTATTCAGATAGTCTTTAGTTCATTAAAAATAGTATTTGTTCCATTTTATTACAAAAAGGCTTTAAACTACGTTACCCACAATCCTTTGTCGCTGTATAGATGGGACGGGAAAGACATGGCGCTACAAATTGTAGTTCATTGAAAGCTGTAGTTAGGGTTAAGTTTAGGGTTACGATCTTGGTTAATCGGTAACTATTTGAAACACAGCGATAACTCATTGATAAAGGACACTGTTAGTAAAGTGTCAAAGTTAGCAAAACATAGTTAGCAACACGAAGGATCTTTTAATTTGGCTTAGAAGTTATAGTCCAATCACAATGTCGCAATCTACGTCACACTTTGTCTCTATTTGGTAATCTTCCGGTTGAAGGTAGATTATAATAACCTTATAATATAACTTAAATATCAAAATGTGTATTAATATTACATGTTATTTAGTGTCTTATTAAAAATACAAATGTATATTTACCGTGAGATTCCTTTGTGGGGGTAACCTGATGTGCAAAATGATCATAGTAAAACCAGATCATAGGCAGTATACTAAATTTGAAACGAATAATAAAATAATAAAAAAAGCATCATGTTTGAAAACATTTCCAGCATTTCCTGTAACTAAACACTGCGTCCTGTAGGTATACAAATATAAATATATGTCAAACTTAAATGACAAATATAGTGCCCATTAAATAGTAAAAATAGTAGTTCATTGTAAATGAGTATGCAAATAAACACAATACATTTTTAATGAAACATTTATCATTTATTTATAATGCCACAAAAAACAAAAATCACGCAAACATGCAAAAACCAAAAATATATATTTTATAACAGTTTTTAATGCAATAATATATTACCATACATATATAAATGATTAAAAACAATTATAATTGAAGGAAATGTATATTTTGTATTATCATTATTATATTTATTTTGTGATATTTATTCATGTCATACATCTGGTATGTCAAGCTCAAGTAAAACTGCACTGCAAAAAATCTTTTCAAATGATGCCTTTATAAATGCCATTATAATAAACAGCTTTCACAACAACAAGAAGTCAAGTTCATGACAAATGCAAATTATGTTTATAATAACAACTTTCTGAACTTAAACATCAAAAGTAGAATAAGTTCAAAACATATTCAAGTATTTACTGAAGAATAGCAAAAACAATTTGTACAAAACACTGAGAACCAAAGTGTGCTTGGTGAGTCCAGGTGTTTATGCTGACTAGACTGTCATATTGCAATCCGGTTAGCATGAGGAGACTTGGGCGTAAAGTGTCAGCAATTCCTGGAGGGCTCCCATGTGTTATTCCAGGTTTTGCCACTGTAAAGTATTAGAAGTGCACAATATCATTACTGAACAAAGAATGAGTGTTAGGTTTCATTTAGAAAGTTCAGTGATATTTATTTATATATGTAAAGTGTCATTAAACCTGGCACTCTTGAATTAACTGTATAATAAGTTAAACATTTCCAGCATGTTTCCATGTATTCCAACCAGATCTGTCAGTTCTACAAACTCAGAGATCAGGATAGGGACTGCACTTCTCATTATGAACACCATTATCCTTCTCATACATTTTTATCACCATTGATGTCCACTGCTGTAGTTTTCATTGAAGGGAATGCTGACACAAATTCCAGCAAGTTTTTTTTTAAATAGCAGAATATGGGTATTATTGGGCCAAAACCTTAAAAAAATATAAGATGCAAGATTTGAATCTTGATGAACATATTGTTAATTCACTTCTTGCAATTGAAAACACATCTCATGTTTGACTCATCAATTATATGAAAACTACAACAGCATACAGTGCTCCACCCTAAAAATATTTCTAAATTATAACAAGCTTATTGTTTTACAAGGCTAAACATTAATTTCATGCCTGCATGATTCACTGCTATTACTGTAACCCATTACACTCTTAACTCAAACTAGTTGACTTTATAAAAAAACTGCATGGGAAATGTTGCCTAAACCCCTTATGTTTTACACAAAGTGAAACTAACAGCC